AACTCGTGTATGCTGGGACAAGTAATGTATTATGGGAAGTTTCAAGGCATAACATATTTTTTTGACTCAAAGTGTCTACCATAATACATCAATTAACACTGACAATATTTTTTCTGTTATTGTGAATGGATGGAATTACCTGTGACCAGTCCTCTAGATATTTTTGCACTTGTTCTGTCTTCCTCAATTATTCCTGGCTCCCTAGGGGCCTCACTAGGGGGCTCTGGTCTCTCAGTGGGAAGGGGCTCCTCTTGCAAGGCAGTCAGGGAGTGGAGAATCCCTTCAAAATTTTCCCTCTCTGAGGTTGGCAAGTCTGGGGGCAACATTAGTCCTACAGCTGATCCTGAAAACAAAACAGACTACAGCAATATTCACAGTCCCATTAATGACATACACCAATTGTTCAATATTACTTTCTTCTTGGAATTCAAGCCAGGTTCAGGCCCATAGGTTTCTCTCCTATTTCTTTTCATAATTTCATGAAAGTTCCCTTAGTAGAAATGACATATAAATATATAAAAGTTTGGAACATTCATCATATTTTTATTAATACTAAAAAATCATTGAAAAATAAAACACTTGTACCTACCCTCTTGAGCTGAGAGAACATCTGGAAACATATATGCCCCGTTCCTGGCATGAAGAACTGGGGATCTCCCTGGCTGAAGAGGGTACACCCAATCTCCCACCTTAAGGAAACCCTCAGGACGGGGTATGCTGCTTGCACCTTGGGGCTCCTGTTCTTTAAACTTAAATATATGTAAGGCTGCTGGGTAGGAGGGGGCACTGACATAACCCTGGGGAGTTATCCAGTATATTTGAACACCCTCTGGAATTGAGTATACAGCTTCAGCATTGGTTTCCAGTGATGGTTCACCATTTTCATTTGTCATTATACTATCACCAAGAGCCTCAAATTCATCCTGAGAAGCACCAAACATGGAAGCTTGGTAAGATGGGGGTGGGTCATCTATAGCCATGGCCACAGCCTCATCCTCTTTCAAAGCTTCAATCCTACTGTTTATCTGAATCTTTGTTTTTTCCATTTTTTGTTTCAGCTGTTTGACATCTTCAAACTCATCTCCAGTTCCATCACACTGTATAGACAGTGCCCTGTCCAAATACTGGCAGCCCCGGGTGTACAGCTGTAAAGCCTGGTCTTTTTGTCCTTGTTCATCATATGTAAGTGCTTTGTTGATTTGTTGAAATGCTTCATTGTGGTATCTGTAACAATGAAATACTTGATAAAGGGTTCAAAGATAAAATAAGTTAAAGATGTTCATTTCCTTTAAGCTTAGTTGTCCCATTTCTTTTGAGGCTTGACATTCAAAAATCCTAACAACAATAAACATAAGTTAACGCCTTAAAACAACAAAATGACACAGAGATGACGGTTTTACTTTAAAGTTAATTTAGGGAGCCTGCCATACCGTTTCACTTTCTTTATCTTCTCCTGTACCAGAGCAACAGTGGTCTGAGGTGCCATAGGAGGGGGCCTAGGAGGGCGGGATCTTCCTGGGGTACACTCCATCTGAGATATTTCAAAGTCCTAGTCAGACATTGCTTTCAAACCATGCACTGAAAATAACGTTTGACATTAATACATGTAGACTACGTACACGTAACGTTATGTCTCATTTGACACATGTTGATAGAAGCCAATAACGTTAAACAGATATTTGTGAAAAAGTGCTAAGAATAGTCAGATTATTCTACTAATGTTAGTAACTTGCTCGTTAAAATCTCCTGTTAAATAAATTCTCAGTTAGATTCTGAAGATGCTTAACCCATTACAACGTTAACTGCGCCGTATCATTCTGTTAAAACGGAAAAGAGATTAAGGGAAAATAACGTTAGCCTTAACGTTGATCAAACTTTTCAAAGATAATGCTGTTTAGTCTAAGCACGAAAAGCAACTCATTTTAACGACAAAGGTATTACCTTTTCAATCCAGTCTCAACATATGCTTATCTTTAAGTAGAAGAAGTACACATTAAAGAGTGAGCCAAGGTCTTCATGCGATTACTCATGTCACTTTGGCAATCAGAGCCATTGGCGGATGTAGCTTATCTTGGGTTCATACGAAATAAAGCGTAATTGGATATCATTTTCCCTGCAAAATACTAGTTGCAAAATACTTATAAAATATATATCTTGTCAGAAACCATGTGCATTTTGTTTATTTATGTAAAACTTCATATATTGTCTACTATGATAAAATACGTGCAATAATAATGGACTAAAATATCCGGGATAATTCTTATCATAGTTTTGCTCAAAACATAAAACTTGTGACTCTGTGACACTTGTAAATAAAAAGTTATAAATCAAGGGGAAGATGTGATCTACCAGCATTTACTGATAGCTTGACTACGGGTCTTAATCAGTTATGGACTGGAGGCCAGAATGGACAGGAGGATGGCGAAATTGGATTCGACCGTTGGTGATGTCCATTTATTTTCTTGTTCTAGTGATAGCTCTCCCCTTATGTGTCTGGGAACTCCAGAAGAATGGGGTTCAGTTGCATTTGCAGGCCTGGTTTGTAGGCGGACTCTTTGTCATGATGGCAATACCCATCTCCCTGTGGGGGATACTCCAGCATTTAGTTAACTATACTCAGCCTTTTCTACAGAGATACATCATTAGGTAGGTACCGTAGTGTTGTTTTGTGTACATTGAATAAATCCTATTAAAACAATTGATAAACTATAATAATAATTATAATTTTTAAAAAGGGTAAGCGAAATCTATAGCTATTATCTAGAGAATAAGTTCTATTTTAGGCTGTGAAATCTATATTTTTACTGAGGTTATTTTTATTTGAAATTAGAACCAAGTGAAAATACCCTAAATTAAATTAAACTTTAAACATAAAAAAGTTTTAAACTTAAAAGTTTGTTAAGGTAGTTTGATTATTGTTTTTGATAATTCGGTTATCTGTTGTAATCTATATATACTATATCTTTTTTTAGAATTTTATGGATGGTTCCTATTTACGCATTGAATGCTGTAAGTATTGGTATTTTGCTAAAATAAAATAAAAATAAAAAAATCTGAAGTTCCGAACATATGATTTTGTCAAAATGAAATATCAACCCATTTGGAAGTTGGATTTTTGGGCACCATAATCATAAAAATGTATGACATATTTTCCTTTTTCTTACTTGTTATACCATGAAGGCTGTTAGATCTATTTAGTAAATTAAAACTTTTATAGTATCAAATATGAGATGATAATATGATACCTGTAAGTGTAAAATATATTATTTTCAGTGGTTTGCACTGAGATTCCCAGATGAGGCAATCTATTTAGACACACTCCGTGAATGCTATGAAGCTTATGTCATCTACAACTTCTTTGCCTATCTCATGAGTTTTCTTCGATCTGAATTCTCAAGGCTAGAGCATCATCTGGAGTTGAAACAGTCAAGTGTTAAACACATTATTCCATTCTGCTGTCTGCCTTCATGGGAGAGTGGGGAGTTAGTATACCAGTGTTTTACCCTTTTACAGTAATTAGAAGAACTGATTCTGAAAAAAAAATGTTTTAATAACTGAGAGAAGATTGCCAATGGGCAATTGCACTTAAAAGTTAATTAACTTGTATGAAAAATAATCAATGAATTACCTTGAAATGTTTTCAAAATTAAGATTGTAAATTGATTCATGTCCAACCTTTATTAGTGTGTTTCAAAAAAGCAAATTCATCATGATTTAATTTCAGAAAATTCTTAACCCATTGTAAACATGGAGCATTGCAGTATACAGTCATCAGACCTATTACAACCATCATAGCTTTGTAAGTAAACCTTGATTCCTCTGGTCAAAATATTCATGTCATTAAGTTATGAAATATCAGCATTCTTAGAATACATCTGAAATATATAAGCTTATGTCTACTGAGAGTCGAGGCAAATATGACACTGCAAATTGGATGATCCATGCTTTATAAGTTTATAAACAAAAGATATCATTTAATAATGATAATTGAGTAGTTGAATGGAATGTGGATTGTAATATTTCAATTTATGATGATTATGAAATTTTACAGATTTAGTTCGTTTAATTTAAAATTATGCTATCAATGAATTGTGAAAAGTGGTAGCTTCAACCAGAGAGTTGTGTACAACTCCTCACTCTAACTGAGATATTCTGGAAAGGACACGTAGATGGACAAAATTCACTTGACTGAAACAGATATTCTGCTAAGATAAGATTTCACAGCTAAGTGTACATTGTTATTTTTATAACACTTTTAGAATCTGTGCTCTGGCAGGAGTTTATGACGAAGGCCACTTCAGCTTCAAGAATGCATGGACCTACATAGTAGTGATAAATAATGTGTCCCAGATTGTAAGTAACTCTTTTGCATAATTCAACCTAAAGTCTAAAGATATGAATATTGCCATAGTATATTGTTTCTGAATTAGCCAGTTTGTCTTGTCTTAAAAATATGTTTTCTCTCCATATGTCTTGTCAAAATTGCAGTATAATAAATTGCACTATATTATGTTATGAATTGATATGTATGGTTTTGACATTGTTAATCATATATATGTATGTATGTATGTATGTATGTATGGAATACAGGCCCGTAGCCAGGGGGGGTTCGGGGGGTTCGAAAGAACCACCCCTTTTCCTGGGAAAAGGTCCACTCTGGGTAAAATTTGATCTAGGTACGTGATGTTTTTATGGAAAAAGGTCCACTTTTTCAGAAAACGAACCCCCCTTTTGAAATTGCTGGCTACGGGCCTGGAATAAATCTATCTAGAATGGTGACAATGAACTTTTAGTCTTGGGACTTAGCTGACCACTAATGTTTCATGGCGTAACCTGCCTGAAGTGTATGGCCCGTGATCTAGATAGATAAAATCTGAAACCATCATGCTTTTAGTCATTTTAACTTAACTGGCTTATATTAACAGTCATGTGATTTATTGTCAGCTTTTAAGTTCTCAGGATTGGGTGGTGTCTTGTTTGATAATTGGTCACCAGCATAAAATTTATATTGGTATATTTTTAATTATCTTCTAGTGGGCCATGTACTGCCTTGTGTTATTCTACCATGTCATGAAGGAAGAGCTAAAGCCCTTGAAGCCTATATCCAAGTTCCTCTGCGTGAAATTTGTTGTTTTCTTCTCTTTCTGGTATGTAGGCCACTCATATTTCTTATCTACTGAAGGAGAACCAGTAGCCTCATAAAATTCCAACATGGTTGAAAAGAACAAATATGCCATCGGGATAATTTTACTGGGTGTTGTAAACTTGTATGATTGTTTTTAAATATTTTTTGTTATGCTTGCCAGTAAAGTTGAATTTTTATACCTCTGTCATGCTAATATATACTCAACAAACCGTGACTTGCAAACATAAAATAAAAGTTTATACCTCCAATAAGCTATACTACTGGGCTTAATGTAGGTACAAAATTTAGTATTAATTTTAGTGAAAATTGATCATCAATGTACATTTATTGCTATCTTTATTTTATTAAGTCAATTAATTCTGTAGCTAGGTAGATTCCCAATGTGCCTGGATTTGAATATTTGACATCGACTTACTAGTATATAAATAATCTATACATGTGTATTCCAGGCAAGCAGTCTTGATTGCTATTCTGGAGGCTGCAGGTGTGATAACTCAGGACAACACCTGGCAGATGTACACTACAAAGACAGTGGCCACAAGTATTCAGGTGTGTGGAAACTAGCAGAATGAACAAAAAACTTTTTGGAATTGTTGAAAACTATTGAATGATGCCCAACTCATTTATTAAAAAGATAAATGTTTATAATTGGTATAGGAACAAGTGCTGATTGATTTTGATAAAAGAATTATCTGAAAGATAAATATTTCTGCCCACAAAAATTTAATAAATATTTGATTAGAAATATTTCAGAAATTTAAATGACTGCTTGTAAGCTTCAGAATGAAAAATTTAAAAATGTGTCTTGTCATATACTATAATCATATGGTACTCGTAATATACGAAGTATGTGTGAGCTTAAAACTGCTGTAACATATTGGCATAAAAATCACTTTATGAAAAATACTACTTCTTTTAGGATTTCTGCATTTGTATAGAGATGTTTATTGCCGCTGTGGCTCACTACTATTCCTTCCCCCATGGACCATTTGTGAACACGGCAGCTGAGCCAGTGCCATGCTGTGTGTCTTTTATGAACATGTTCAATGTGTCAGATCTCAGGGATGATGTGGTAGAACATGTTAGGCATGTTGGTAAGCACACTTAGTAATACAACTAACACAGGCCAGGTTTTAAATGGAGATGGGAGAAAGAAGAGCAAGAGTGAGAGATCCCTTTGTAGACTTCTGGCTGGATTTATCTGGTATGTCTGTATAGAGTGCAGACCCGTAGCCAGAATTTTTAAGGGGGGGTCTTTTCTGAAAATGTGGACCTTTTATTGTGAAACCTTTGTGTTTCTTTAAGTTGTTTTTTCAAGTTTTATATTAAAAAAAAACCTAAGGTGATGGTAGTCATTTAAACATATTTAATTTGCTGAAAAGTTTTGTAGTACCCTAAATCACAAAAGTTTTATACTTCATGATCTGCAATAAATATCATGTTAAAACAATGAGAAATCACTGCATTTCAATACAAGAAAATTAATTACTTATTAGTAGTACAAGCACAATGTATAAAGCTGAGCTTTTCTTTATAATCCAAGATGATGCAACAAGGCATTATAGCACAAAAGGCATTGCTATTTGACCATTGAGTGTATAAGAAAAAAGGTAAAATTCTAGAAAGGTGACTTGTGCCCCATTATCTGCTGTAGATCAGTATGTAACGCTTTCATGCTATTTAGTCTGTCAACTCACTCCTTTCCTTATTCATTCCTTAACGAGTATGTATGTACATTGTTTTACAGGTAAAACTGTCAAAGGGACCATTAGACCGGGTCATGCACGTAAAACTTCAGAATTGACACCTCTTTTATCATCAGACACAGATGATGGTAAACTTTATTTTAGTTTTTTTTTAATTCTTAAATAATGTTATCATCATATTAGTGTGCTGTTTTTTTTTTTTTTTTTTTTTTTTTTTTTTTTTTTTTTTTTTTTTTTTTTTTTTATTGTTTTTATTTGTGTAATTTTTTTCNTTTCTAAAAAGTTTAGCTTTTTGTTAAAATCTCTTAAGAGATTTTAATAGAGTATAGCCATCAATGGAGGTCACGTGGTCTAAAGACAAGCTCAGATATCAGAAAAAATAGCTATAACTGCTGTTTTTGTGATAAAACTGAATATATTATATTTCTATGAGTTATTCACAATGTTTTTATTGTGAAATATAGATTTCATACGAAGAGTTATTATCACTTTAATGTAGGTACAAAATTTAGTATTAATTTTAGTGAAAGTTGATCATCAATGTACATTTATTTCTATTTTTATTGTATTAAGTCAATTAATTCTGTATCTAGGTAGATTCCCAATGTGCCTGGATTTGAATTATTGACATTGACTTATATAAATAATCTATACACGTATATTCCAGGCAAGCAGTCTTGATTGCTATTCTGGAAGCTGCAGGTGTGATAACTCAGGACAACACCTGGCAGATGTACACTACAAAGACAGTGGCCACAAGTATTCAGGTGTGTGGAAACTATCAGAATGAACAAAAAACTTTCTGAAATAGTTTTAAACTATTGTATGATGCCCAACTCATTTATTAAAAAGATAATTGTTTATAATTGGTATAGAAACAAGTGCTGATTGATTTTGATAAAAAGATTAATCTGAAAGATAAATATTTCTGCCCACAAACATTACATAAATATTTGTGGTTAAGAATATTTCAGAAGCTTAAATGACTGCTTGTAAGCTTCAGAATGAAAAATTTTAAAATGTGTCTTGTCATATACTATAATCATATGGTACTCGTAATATACGAAGTATGTGTGAGCTATAAAACTGCTGTTATATATTGGCATAAAAATCACTTTATGAAAAATGCTACTTCTTTTAGGATTTCTGCATTTGTATAGAGATGTTTATTGCTGCTGTGGCTCACTACTATTCCTTCCCCCATGGACCATTTGTGAACACAGCAGCTGAGCCAGTGCCATGCTGTGTGTCTTTTATGAACATGTTCAATGTGTCAGATCTCAGGGATGATGTGGTAGAACATGTCAGGCATGTTGGTAAGCACACTTAATAATGCAACTAACACAGGCCAGGTTTTAAATGGAGATGGGAGAAGAAAGAGCAAGAGTGAGAGATCCCTTTGTAGACTTTTGGCTCAATTTATCTTGTATGTCTGTATAGAGTGCAGGACCGTAGCCAGAATTTTCAGGGGGGGGGTCTTTTTCTGAAAATGTGAACCTTTTATTGTGAAACCTTTGTGTTTCTTTAAATTGTTTTTTCAAGTTTTATATTTTAAAAAACCTAAGGTGATGGTAGTCATTTAAACATATTTAATTTGCTGAAAAGTTTTGTAGTACCCTAAATGACAAAAGTTTTATACTTCTGTTTTATCTGTGCACTGCAGTATACAGTCATCAGACCTATTACAACCATCAAAAGTTTTATGTGCAATAAATATCATGTTAAGACTCCATTCACATGAAAAATCTACTTTCTAAAAATCTACTTTCTATTCGCGGTATCTTGTGATCACTCCGAGCGCAGCCGAGAATTAATTACAGCTTTGGAAATAACTGGGTCGCGCTGCCAGTAATTACGCCACAGGGTATTCAGGGCACAGACCGTGATCACAAGATACCACGAATAGAAAATAGATTTTTAGAAAATAGACTTTCCATGTGAACGGTCCCTAAAACAATGAGAAATCACTGCATTTCAATACAACAAGAAAATAAATTACTTATTAGTAGTACAAGCACAATGTATAAAGCTGAGTTTTTCCTTATAATCCAAGATGATGCAACAAGGCATTATAGCACAAAAGGCATTGCTATTTGACCATTGAGTGTATAAGAAAAAAGGTAAAATTCTAGAAAGGTGACTTGTGCCGCATTATCTGCTGTAGATCAGTATGTAACGCTTTCATGCTATTTAGTCTGTCAACTCACATGCATTCCTTAACGAGTATGTATGTACATTGTTTTACAGGTAAAACTGTCAAAGGGACCATTAGACCGGGACATGCACGTAAAACTTCAGAATTGACACCTCTTTTATCATCAGACACGGATGATGGTAAAGTTTATTTTAGTTTTTTTTTTATTCTTAAATAAGGTTATCATCATATTAGTGTGCTGTTTTTTTTTTCGTTTGTATTCATGTATGTATCGGCTAATATTTTCCCGACGAAAGAAACGAGTCGATCAATAAAGGAAGAATAATGAGTTAACTTTATGGTTATTGTCAGTTCCTCTTATTGAAATTATTAATCATTTTTATTACAGGACACAGTTACCTTGGAGACTCATCGGCCACAGCGTCAGACTTGCACGATAGCTACCAGAAAAGCGGTACCACAGCAAGCCTCAACAATTATGTGAACTTTGGGGAAAGTGTAGACTCCAGACAGTTGAAATATCAAAACTTTTCAGAAGGACATGTAGTGAGAACAACCAGTGATCCGATCGTGGAAACGCAGCAGGACGACAGCGGCACCTCACCACAGCAGGACCACGTTTTAAGCAGTAGCACTGATGAAACTAGACCAGCTTGTGATTTACTTGAGACCAATACTGCTTTACATAGTGATTTACGTGATATTGTGTCTGGCGTTCTTTCTTCCGAGGATGATTCGCGGCATACGGAAACAACGGAGAATAACTTGATTAACTTGGAAGCTAATTCAGATAATGTAAATGCTGTTACAAGGACCGATATTGCTGTGAATGATGTAAATATTGAAGCAGGCAAGGATGAGGAAGAAACTTCCCCTATTGTTTAATTATTTTTATAGTTTAATATTTACTAAATTTCAGTTTACAAAACACGAAAAGTGCCAGAAACTCGTAAACACATGGATACACGGATAGCCTTTTTGATTACATTTGAATTTAATTTGAAATTGCATCTTGTTAAGGTATCTGCCCACTCCAAAATACAATCGTAAAAAAAAAAGATTAAGACAACGGTTACGCAAAATAAATAAAGCTATGTTACGGCTTCCTGTTAACAACCTCTTGTGCATTTTGTGATGAATTTCATGTGGCGCATATACACGAACAAAAGAACATCCATGCACATAATAAACTGGATTAAGTAATTGAATAAACCACTTTGCTCTGTTTAATTGGAACATGCCTACTTGTTATCTCCGGTCACCAGTGTAGAAGACTGCGTGTCTGCATGGTCTTTGCCTCACGGCCTTTTTCCGTCGTTCAACTTGATTAGCTTGGGTTTATTTCAATTGTATTAATGGCGTTTGTTACTTAACTGCATCCAAAGAAATCATCAGCCAAAAGCAAAATGAACGTAGAGCGGCCACAGAGTTTATCATGTCGCCAAAGTCTTCCACGTTCTTGAATTATAAATTGTTTTGCTTGAATTACCTGTGATGAGGTTAAAATGCAGTATGATCTAGAAACTAAAGATAATCGATAATTTTTACAGAAGTTTTATATTTCTTAAGGATTTAAATTTCACTTTGCTCTGCTCTGTATTTGCTATAGTGTGCAATATAAATTGCGTTAGCCTCGTGCGTATTGTGATACATGTAGATTCAACCGTGCACGTAAAGCATTAATTAGTTTATGTGAAAAAGCATTTTCCACCTTTTGGATTTTGACAATCGGTGTAGAAATTGGCGTGTGAGTTGAATCTGCAAGTCACGGTATTTTTTCAACTTGTAAGTCAATTAGTTTGGAATTTAAAAATTCTAAACGGTATTGGTCATTCAAATGCATTTAAAGATAAACCGTTCCAAGTGGCTGCATACAGTTTCTTGAGTTTATCGTGCCGCAATATAATAATGCCGGTCTGAAACTCAAGTCTGGTTTTTAAAAGTAACATTTTTGTGTAACTTTTATGCATGCTTAAGAAACATTACTTCGATTCATTAGAGTAATTACTTCCACTTTGTGTTATCTTGGACGGAACGTTATAGATTCCAGCCTTTGGCTGTCTCTATCGGTGAGAAACATGCTCTCTTCGCGTCACAGCCTCTTTCAGTCTTTAAAAATCAATTCGGTTGACTGGCGTTTTTAAAGGATATCAATGGAATTCTTAATTCACAGGATACTGATGGCACCACTGACTGACATTAATTCGAAAACACCACTATAACATTATAATGTGAAACGTTTAACTGTGTCCCTTTCATTACATTAAAAAAAATTATACTGCGATATTGAACTTGTTATCTCTCTCACACGCGCGCGCGGACGCCTACATTCTCTCATTTTGTGGAATGTCTCTGTTATTGCTTGTTTCAAAACCATACTGGTGACGCATTTTCGGGTTGAGGATTTTCATTTTAACCAGCTGGGAAGCTATCTTAGAATCTCAACGGTACATAGAAGTTTAAATTTATCCCTACAACATTTCTTTGTTTCCAAAAATATTTAATGGGTTATTTTCTTTGATGGGCTAGCATCCGCACTGAGGAAAATATCAGTTGGGTGCAGAGCACGGGTGGAACGCACGCTTACTAAGGCATACGAATGGCGATTTTATTAAATTTGTTAAAAATAATAATTTACCAATTTGATCGGACTTTTTTGCATTATAATAGACAAGGGTGGTTTTTAAAAGTCGTTTTGTGTTGAGTTTATATTTATATTCCGATCAAAGTGTCAGCCGAGTGAATTAAGTGCCACTTGCACCTGTGCTGGTGGTACTCTGAATGTCAGTATCTGGTGACGAATTTCTTTCGTCTTCGTATACTGGCCTCGCAAACTTCCAAACTGATTTTTCCACAGTTCCTTTCTCCTTACTTTTTACCCACCATGGCATGCGTCTGTTGCTCTACTGCTTCAAGTCGGATACAACTTAAACAATCCAAAACTACAGCGCTCACCTGAATAGCTCCTATGGCGCCTCCCCTTTGATGACATGGGCGGGTCTAAGCAACAAGCTCCCTCGCAGTTATCCAATAAACAAATAACTAGAAAGTTATAAGAAATGGTTCATTTTTAAACACACAAACAAACAATAAAATTAACAAACGAAGCCCTGACTGACATTATTTAGATCTGTATTACAATTTTGCACATTCTGTCATGAAACATGCTTTCAAGAACAAAAGTGATCAAGCATTTAAGAGATAATCCCCGATCTATGTCCTTATATCATTGGAAACCTTGCAAAGGAGCAGCGGTCAATTACACCAGTTGATTGACCTCACCCTTTGCACTTACGGTGACGCATGTTATATATGAGATGCGCTGCTGGACAAGCGTCACAAAGTTGCAGTTAGTGAATATCAAACATATCCAAATTGTTTTCGCCAACGGTTGTGCCTCCATCACAATGAGCTCATCAAGCATTAACATGCTTGTGTTCTTTCTTCTCTGGACTGCAGCGTCCGGACAACAGAACCACACAACAAAGAGACAGTTTAAAGAGACAGCGAAAACAACTGTCAGCATCCGTCAGTCCACACACTGCGTTAGAGGGAAACAATGTAACACGACGGTTTCAATTGCCCAGGAGTCACCGACCTATGCCAGTAACGAGAAAGAAGCGGGTACTGAAGTGTTACCGACTAAACAAGGCATAAAAAGTGGTATGCCGTCGTTCTTTAAGAATGCAATCTCAACCATCTATCCCCCTTTGCAGAACGTCCGCCGGAACGTCGCCAAGAGATCGGTGACTACGCAGACTACGCCCTCTCCATTGAATACAACTGTTCGACCATGGGGCATTACATTCAACCTCACAATGAACAATCAGATTTGCGCAGCAGAGTCGGAAGAAATGTCTGTCAGTGTGCAGGTGCTGTGTCATTGTGACGAGCTCTGCAATCTGTTTCGAGATTGCTGCGAACCACTCCATTCCTGTGGGAATAACTCAGTACCCCAAGGACAAGCAATACAGAAGTCTGCTCTGAAAGATAACATAGATTGCGTATTGCAGTCTACAGCCACCCTGAAGGGAATTGAAAGTGGGTATTTTTGGATGATAACTTCTTGCCCCAGTAACTGGTTGAACAGTACCGAGCGTAACTTTTGTGAAAATGCTACCGAAACCAATGACATTGACAGCTTGCTGCCAGTGTCAGATCCAGACACAAAACTGACTTATCAAAACAAATTCTGCGCAACCTGCCACGGTTCGACGAAGCACCTTAAGTGGACGCCCTTTTTCACTTGCCGCTTAGCTTGGGGAGACAGCACGGAGCTCTATCTAAACTCATCTAGCTTTGATGATATATTGATCCACATCAAGTCAGATCCAGGCTGCATGCTTTTCTTTGTTCCACCACCGACAGTTGCCACAAGGCAATGCGTTCCACACGGAGAAAGTCCAGTTACGTCAATTTTGTGGAACACCGGTAGATTATGTAAACGAGACGCTGATCCAATACACAAAGAGGTGTGTTCTGCAGGGCCACTCTCGCTAATCTACATGAAGAGAGGGTCGCACGGAGCTGAACTGTATGGCAGGAACATATATTGTTGGCTTTGTCTCTACAGTTTAAGTTCACCACCAATTGAACGAACGTGTTCTACTCCACGTAAGATATATATTTTTTATATATATTTTGTCTTTTGCTCTAAATGGGGACAAATGATTTTCACTGTGAATTAATTATGAAGTACGTCACACGCAGTTTTACTAGAATGTATTCAATTCACTTGTATCACGTAAGAGATCCTGAGCGACTGGGCGGTCAGGTGCTCCGGTTTCTGTGGTCAATGGCTTAAGTAATATAGAAGTTTTTTTCAGATGTCTATCAATACATGTTTTCGGTGTGACACAAAATACCCTCTAACCATTCCAACGTGACTCTGTTTTCGTGCGATAGATCAACCAAATTGAGTTTTAGTCGAGAAAGAAAAAGAAAAAATCGCCATGGTTGTAGACCTGGCCTCTGTGCCGCCGTGAAATTTTGATCTTGTGTTTTTGTACAACTAATTTAATGTATATGTTGCAAATATTGCATAGTTATATATGTTGCAAATATTACATAGTAAATCATATTAAATCATACTAAATCCAATCTTTGTTAACGAACAATCAATAAGTCTTGCGTAACTGCATAATTCGACACTGTGAAATAGAACTATTCATTGTACTAATAACAGATTATTTAAAATCATTTTTCATTCATGTAGCCTCAGGAAAGAGGACGTTTGCTCCAGTAGGGTTCACAATGATGCTTGATCCTTCAAAGACATTCGCCAAACAATGCCTACCAAAAACCATGGTAAGTCTTGTAACAGGAACAGATATTCCCGTTAGTAATACAAATACGTGGTAAACTAAAATTATTCTGGCGATTTCCATTTTGATGACCATAGTCAATCAAGCAATGGGATGAAATTCCGACTTTTGTTCAGTAAATTTCGTAAGAAAGTACCAACTATAATGAAATAATATAAAATATAGTGGTCAACTATCTCTCAAATGATTTGAACATTTTTCTGATTTCTCACAAACAAAACAGTGACAACCTACCACAGATTTAAAACTTTAATATGCCAAAATAATAGGATTTTTGAAATCACTTCTATGTGAAAATAGATTTCAGCGCAAATCCATTCCATTCCAGTCGGCATGCAGTAGGGCAAATGAACGCTGTCCCTCCCCGGCACTAGCCCTTCTCAACGTAGGTTACCAATTGCAAATGGCGCTAACTCAAAGTGGTTCTTTGAACATTTCTGGAGACATGCTTGGTGTTTGCAGGATGTTCCGTGACTACTTGGGTTATATTTTTCATACATCCAGTAACATTGCTTGGATGTTTAAAAATGAATGGGTACTGCAACCGCGAGGAGCATGCTCCACACCCACTGTGGATCAGATGAAGATGGCGCCATATTCCAATGTTGTGGTGATTATGCACCGCATTCTTGTACTGCAAAAACAGATCAGCTGGTATTATGATGGGGTCAGAATGTTGGAAACATTGAAGAATCGCATCAACGATATCCTGCACGCGAAGAAAGCAACCGTGCCATACAATGGTGTCGAGTTCAATGTCAGAGTAATCCTGGATGACACAGTGCCTTGTGGTAGTAATGAGGGATCAAGCAAGGTTGAGCCACCCCTACCAGATAAGACCGCTGGAAATAGTGGAAATCCCCGCAGCTATACCCGTTGGATGGCATTCACAGTCATTTGGTTCACGTGGCCGGTTTTCGTTCACATTATCATATGTGAGCTTATAAGCTAAATGAACGGTGTGCCCCGACAGAACGCTTTATCGGTAACCAGGAGCGAAGCACATGTACATTTCAGATGTACGTTTCCGATCTGAGTTTTGAATATGGTTTCGTTTTGCATCATGTCATTATTTTTAGAGATAGAATAAATCCAAATTCTCAAAAGTTCGATAAACTTGTTGCCATCATACTATTATGTTATTTTATGAACAAAAACTAGTAAGATTTACTCAGAGTCTATCTCAGGACCCGGAGATAAGTGAACTACAATCCATTACCTGTACATTTCCACCACATATGTTAATAAAGTTTTGAAAAAGACAATGTAATTTTACAACATAAGCCAAATATATAGATCTCCAAGTTTATGTAAGACATAAGTTAATACCCTGCATATGAAAAAAGAACGAAACTTTTTACACCAAACATTAGAAAAAGCTCACATAAAAACCAAAAATACATATGTAAAAGGAAATAATGCTAAATGCGAAGTAAACTTGACTTAATAAAATTGCTTCAGTTGCAGTTGCAAAATTTTGTCACCGTGATAAGAAAAATGACTGGCTTCCATTAAAAAAAAAAACAATAACAAAGTTTGAAGAAAATATTAGAGGACAGGTAGACTTCATATAAGAGAATTAACTTATATCACCATCATCCCCTTTTTTCTTATGTAACAAACAGGCCGCCGCATATCACGAATACCATGAATTCCACCCGAACTCTCACACGAATCGCATTCGCTTTTTTGGCGGGCACTGTAGAGCCCGCAGTAGTAGTATTAAAAGCCGTTTGCGTGTAGCTATTGTCATTTTCTTGGGACACCAACGTACTGGCCACATCTGTCCCCTCACCAGAATCCGACACACATTCCCAGGAAAAATCTAACGTACATAGGTCAGTGGAACCAGCTGAAGAATTTCTTGCGCATTCACTTTTAGCTGCAAACACTTTAATCTCGCTCGTCACTTGATTTCTCTTGGTACAGCATGAGCATTTAGCACATCTGGAGATAAAATTATGAACGGGGATTACGTAAACAGAAACGAAAAAAAAAAAACAAATAAACAAATAGAACAGGTGAGAATATTGACGCACTGCACGTATGGAAAGTTTGAAAGATTAAAAATGAAGGGACAACAGCAAGCAAACTGAAAGCAAAGAGGCGATTTATTTAAACCTTTGGTCATTATATGCAAAAATACGGTGAACGTCATGGTGAAAAACCCAAACAAATCAAATATACGGATGACAAACGGGGCATAAAATAGTAATGAGAGAAGAAAATTAATAAAATTTTAAGTAAATAAACTGAAAAAAAATGTAATGAGTATTCAAGAAAAGAAGCCGATCAATATTCACTTCACATATAATGATTTTTATGATTAAAAGAAAAAGAAAACAAATTCAGGAATAACTTAAATTTCTGTTTCATGTTTTCCTCATTACAAGCAGAAAAAAAACTAATACGATGTGAAAAAAAAGTAACATACAACAATGTTTATTCAATCTTACCGATAAATTGCAATGAATTCACCAATTAACCGATTATAAGAGAAATATTTAAACATTCTCATACATGTGTATATTTTTGGCAACCTGGAATTGAATAATTTTTAAAGTAATCTACGTTTGGAATGTACTTACTGGTTTGTCAAATGATGGCAATAATGTCCGACTGGGCAGCTGGAATCCCTTGGGTTACACGGTGTCTCCCGCTAGAATTACGATACAGGGAATCAATATGGTCCGTTCCACTAGTAGTGATTTTTTTTTTTTTTTTTTACAAAAATTACCATTTTTTACGAAATCAGTGATACATTGGCTGGCAATATGTTCTCGCAATCTAATATTAAAAGTAAAGAATAATGGCGCATTACACATGGCTATCTCAGGTACAAATGAAATAAAAGTCAAAATTATACAAAGCGCAACATAAGAGAAAAAAATCAGACAAATGTATGACTTTTTGTTACAGACGTTTTTGATGCGCTTTAATGATCATAATAAATTAGACACTATTTGTCTAAAATTGAACAGGTATAAAATGATGTGAGTATATTTACATCACCACTTCTATATTACTGTGAAAATATACCTTCAGTCTTATTGGGCTCTTCTGATAGTCTTCCCACCCGTGCGCATGCAAGGAATCTCTCACTACCATATACGTAAAGCAAAAGTAAATGAAAGCCAACCTAAGACACAAGCTGTACGGAGAATAAAAACAGAAAAAGACAAAGATACGGGAAACATTAACCAAAAAAGTTCCATTGTGAGTGGGTCTATATAAGTAGGTCTGTATACGTGGCGTATACAGTCAATTAATATAAAATAAACATAAAATTGGAAAATTAACATAAAATTAGAACTATAACACTAACAGCCAATAAACATAAATTTGGAACAAAGCTACAAAATANTCACTTCCGGAAAGTTACGTGAAAAGTTACAAGAGTTTGTAAGTCCACGACTTACAAGAGTTTTGAGAATACCGTGTAAGTCTAAGATACAAATTCACGTAAATAGTTACAAATTGTTGTAAGTTACAAAGTTTTGAGAATACGGCCCCTGTGATATATATATATATATATATATATATATATATATATATATATATATATATATATATACAATGTATGCCGTCAAATATTTCTTTAAAAAAATTAAAAATCCAGGGGATTTTTCTGACCCTGGCCTGGGCATAGGTCTGTGCAGTAGAAATAATATACAAACATTTGTCTAACATCTGCGTTGGAAGTAGATTTAAACAAAACTAATTGAGTTCTAGAGGAGGTGACGACTTTGCAAAAAGATAGCAAGACACTTTATTGTCGAACATGTTTTTTTTTTGCTGAAACGGGTCATAGCCCTGTTTGCTAATAGGGGTGAGGTCGATATCATTCTACTTAGTAGGCGAAACCTCAGACACCTGTCGCATACTCCAAACCCTTGATTATTTAATACATGTCAAAGTTATACTTATAGAAAGCAACTTACCAACAACAAAGAACAAATTGCGACTAGCATTAAAAGTTGACTCGCCATTTTCTCTGCCTTGTGTAAAGTGGTAAATAGGACATTCAATGACGCTGAAAAAACCCCCACTTGAGAGTATTTATAGTGGGGATTTTCCATTGTTTTTAGTGTATGTGTGTGAGTGTGTGTGTGTGTGTGTCGTTCATGAGACAACAATTCTGCAACTGGCTAGCGCGTATAGTTTGATCTATACTTATGCATTACTAATTCCCGATCAAACTTGATATTGATTTCAGACAATCTGACACTACATTTAGCCTTGGACGAATAAGACTGTGTATGTTAGAATGTTTGAGCGTGTTCTAAAACAATTACATACGCTGCTTATATGTTCATGTTCATACGTTGCAAAAAGAGTGATATCACGCTCAAAGTAATGCGAAGAATCGATTCTATATACAATACTCAGGGCACTTATACGGATCTCTTTACGTTAGCATTCTTAGTCAAGCAGTGACGCGTTGTTGGGTTATGCAACAACTTGTTTCGGCTGCTCTATTTGTACTGCCTGTACATTTATAAGAGCTTTGCACCAAGTTGTATCTATTTTTTCACCTTTACTTCACATTTTAATTGACATACAAGCTTAATAATGATTTAGATTTTTCGTGCTTTTAGTATTCACTGAGAAAAATATATAATGTTGCAACATGCGAATGGAAAATATTTTGTAATCACGCAAAGACAATGGAAAAGAAAACAAGTAAATGCGTGATCAGTACGGAGAAATTGAGTATAAATATTTGTGAAGTTGTATGAAGCGAGAGTCGGTGAATAACCATTCGAAAGCTCCAAACTGCTGTCGTCATTTCTCACTATAACAATAAACGTACAAGATGCTTTATCGATAAATTCTATTAACATAGTTATTCGGTGCATAACCTCAAATCACCTTGGTTAATTTTAATTTGAAACTGCATTTTGTAGTGCAAAAGTTAAATACTGTTTGTTGCTTCTTGGATTCATAATAGTTAGTTTCTTGTCATATGTATTTTATAATAATAATGGTCCTAACAGTGTTTATTCTGCTACCTAAAGTTGGATTGTACATGTACTACTGCTATAAGAAAAGTGATAAAAACAACTAATACATTATAAGATTACCAACATAAAAATTAATAAAGAAAATCAGTGGTTCAAATATTATATCATTCAAATTCTCTAATTAGTTTCAAAGCAACAGAAAATTTTGAGTGTCTTATGGATAAAAGCATTTGCAGAAATAACTATTTTGGTACAAGTATTCAGCGTGCCTTCGAGTTTAAGTATGTTTACTTATTTTTGGTAAGTAAATTGTTGTGCATTTCTCCAACAATACATCATTTGTTTTAAAAGTCCAATATGTTTTACAAAGACTGTAATTACTGTATAATAAATAAATAAACATTAATTACAAAGAAGCTTGTTTTTATTTTTCTGTCAATAATACAATAGCCACCAGTTGTAATGGGTTAAAAAATGCTAACTGCTCCAACGTAAATTGACAACCACATAGGTAATCTTATACATTACAGGTCCCAGAGATAAGCTTGCTTCTTAGAAACAAATGTGCGCATCCTGATCACTTCTTAAAAGCGAAGCCCTGCATGTGTGCGTACACGTGTCTGTCCAAATTGCTGGGCAAAATGTTATTTCCTTGACAATGCCGTCCATGGTTTCACAGTACTAATGGCGTATGCCAATATACAGGATGGTCATCGATATTCTAACAATCAAGATTGGCATCAATGTTTAAACTACGATCATTTTACAAACCAACTGGACTTGTCTCTGACTTAGGCTTTTTCCGAAAAGTAAATTAAAACATGCTATATATGAAATTTAGTAAATTTAGCTTTGCTTAAAAAAAATAGGCGAGATTTTAGATTTTAGATTTTCCAACAAAAAATTCTCGCCAAAATGTGCAAACGACACTGACTTTAGCTAGGCTTAATCTTGGATATTGGTGGAACCCCTTACCAAAGTGCACTTTGTTGATTTGAAGGAATTCCACCAATGTTTAAAAAACTCTAATTTAAGTCAGTGCTGTCAACATATTATCTTATCAATTATCACTTATGACAGAGTGAAACACACACTGCCAGGATACCAGAATGAAAACAAATCCTACACCGCTTAATTTTGATAATAATACGAGAAAGTTACTATTTCCTGGAGCCCACCTAACAATGCTAAAACAGGCCCGTAGCCAGCTATTTGAAAGGGGGGGGGTTCTTTTTCTGAAAAAGTGGACCTTTTACCATATAATCCCCATGTACCTAGGTCAAATTTTACCCAGAGTGGACCTTTTTCCGGCAAAAAGGGGGGTTCTTTCGAACCCCCCCTGGCTACGGGCCTGTAAAATCTAATAAGCTTCAAATGCATTTCATGGCATTTATAAAAGGTGTAAACAATAAAAGCAAGTTTGGATAGATACGAGAAAGCTACTAGTTCCTGAGACCCACCAAAAAATAAATAAAACCTAATTAGCTTTAAATGCACTTCACTGCATATATAAAAGGTGTTACAGAAAACAAACATAAGCTTGAAATGCATACATTGTAATACAGCTATCAGCTTTTCTTTCTTAGTGGACATCTTAACTTCAAGTATAAAAATTGATGTTACATACATTTATACCAAACTTAATTCTTATAAGACATACCAAGTACTGTATATATGTATTTGAAATATATAAAAAAAGGATTATAAATGTAGCCAATGGCAAGTGAAGAACTAGTCTACATATTCTAAATGCAAAAGCCTTGTGGATATAACTGAAAGAAATGCTATTAACTAAACCCCACAACCACCATTAAATGTTCTGATTACTCAAAAAACGTTGTAACAGATTACAACAAAGACCATTGAAAAAGTGCATTGACGGGTGTGTATTTCAGGTTAGAAGAGGACGATTTTGGTGGCTTTTTATCTCTTCGAATCTGATCCCTATCCGTCACTTTGGACCGAGTGGTTTCCTTGAAACCCGTATTGTATGGCTTAGTGGTATCATTCTGTACTCTGGTGTCACAGACCCAGGAGAAATCTTGTGAACAGGCGAAATCAGCACGCGTTTGGGAGTTACTTGTACATTCCGTGAGGGGAGTTAGTTTCCTTGTTTTGGTTTTGTCATGGCGGCTCACAACATTACAACAAGAACATCTGAGGCACCTGAAATGGAATAATTATTATTCCAGTGATTTTAATCACTTATAATTAAAATTAAGTTAAAACATTTTCTTGTGAGAACAAGACAGATTGCTAGCACAGGAGTTTTTTAACTGTTGTACTGATATTGACCTCAAATTGAAAATTAAGGCTTACCTATTTTTCTTTTCAGAAAAGTATTCATGGGCCCCACATTTCTGAAACAAAAAATATGTGAATGTGCATTATAGTTCATCACAGCAGAAACAACATGTTGTGGTTTTATATTCTTTTGTACATTACAACAAGCATTGAACTGAGTCACAGTCAGTATGAGGAAATTTTCTCTCTTTATATGAAACTTCTGTAAAGATTTTTTGATATGGTCAATGTATAGTTTATGGACTAATCAAGCAGAAATCATTTAAACATTATTAATATATGTATAAAATACCTTTTCTCAAAAATATGTTAGCACACAAAAAGCAGAATAAGGGAAAAAAACCAAACAATCTTTATTTTAGTGTGCATTCACAATGAACCAACAATAAATAAAATAAATGAATGAATGAATGAATGAATAAACAAATTTATAACTAAATAAAGTAGGAAAGAAAGAATAAAGAAAAATGTATGTCCAACACTACCCATGCATGGAACAATTCTTACATAACCATTGCCTATAATCATGTTCACCAGATAATTCTGAACTTGTCACGATTCCTGAATCCCACATGCAAATACAATATTGGCTTTCGCCCAACTCCACTTTTATTTTTTTGAGGCAAGTTAACACAGTTAATTATAAATAAAAAAAATATCTTTACACTCACATGCAGAAGATAATATCAAACTACTTTTTTACTATCTAAATCTTACCATCAACAGGCCTTCAGCTTCTGGTAATGTATCCCATTTCCTTTGTGATAGAGTTAAAAGTTATCATTTTTTAAACGCAAAACAGATTTGATTTTTTTCTTTCAGTTAACCTTTAAGTTATTGAAATACTTTTTTTGACAATCATTTTATCTTACCTTATTAATGCCATCTGCCAAAAGCTCATTCTTAGGGGCATTAGAATCTCTGTTCCAATCTGTGTTCAAATGAACAATAATATAAGGAAAATGCATGCAGTTAGCAATAAAAGACCGCATTCACAACGAGTTGAGCCATGGCTCTACAAAGTCACGAACTAAATATGGCAGACATACATGAAAGGAAAACCACCTAATCTTTTAATAGTCTTTAATAGGGGGTACAGTCATTAAATCTCGGCTCCATTGGGACGACACATGGAGAGGCGGGTGAAAGGCGGAAGACTATTAAAAGATTAGGCAGTTTTCCTTTCATGTGTTTCCGCCATATTTAGTTCGTGACTTTGTAGAGCCATGGCTCAACTCATTGTGAATGCGGTCAAAGTAATATAAATAATACAACATGTGATGTATAATAAAACCTACAATAGAGAACAAGCAAAATAAATCCATTGGAATACAAAATTAATAAATACAAAATAAAAAAGTTAACAGTACACATACTTGTAACAGGCCCGTAGCCAGCAATTTCAAAAGGAGGGTTCTTTTTCTGAAAAAGTGGACCTTTTCCCATAAAAACTTCATGTACCTAGATCAAATTTTACCCAGAGTGGACCTTTTCCCAGCAAAAGGGGCGGTTCTTTCGAACCCCCCGAACCCCCCCTGGCTACGGGCCTGTGTAATTATGTCCTGGTATGATGAGGTAATTTTTGTGGTGGGTAAGGGAAGGGGTAACATCAACAGGGAAATACAAAACATTGTACAAAACAACAGCATGTCTAACTGCACATATATCTTACCTGGGTACTTCATGTACATGTAACTAAGCACAGAGTTCTGGTTTCTAGTTGCGTTCCTAGGGAGATAATGGCCATGTCTATGCAGGTGGTTGGGGCTACTGGGATTTCCATTTACCTACAAAGATATTGATAGAAGCTACTATATCCACTGCACTAAATATAAATTTTAATTTAGCAACATGATGTTGACTTGTACTGTAACACCCCATTTCCATAGATTAGATCGACCTACTTTAGATCGACCTAACTCCCTGGGGGTTCACGCTAAATAGCTGTCAGCCGGGCGGACACGAAAGTTAATTACCCCCTTACAGCTTGTAGTACGGACATTGCGGGACGGACATTTAAGTTGGCTTATCTGAAAGTAATCTAGTGAGACTCCCCGGGGGGATAGATTGATCTAAAATCTATGGAAATAGAGCCTTAGGTAGCATTCACAACGAGTTGAGCCAGGCTTTACAAATCCTGTGGACTAAATATGGCGGACGTACATGAAAGAAAAACCGCCTAATCTTTTAATAGTCTCTCCGCCTCTCACACGCCTCCCCATGTGTCGTCCCAATGGAGCCAAGATTTAATGACTGTCCCCCCGCAGGGACGACATGTGGGGAGGCGTGTGAGAGGCGGAGAGACTATTAAAAGATTAGGCGGTTTTTCTTTCATGTACGACCACCATATTTAGTCC